TATATATATATATATCTTATTATGCTTTAGTTTGATGAACCAAATTGTGTTTATCTTCCCTTCCCTGATCGTGCAGCTTTAGTTCTGGGCACCTGCTTCCTGCCCAGCCTTTATAGGCAGGCATTACTATGGATGGCAGGCCCTATAAGTCTATTCTTACCCTTGTCACCAATGTGACTCTCACCTTCTGATGTGTGTGCAGCATTCAGGTGTATGTTTCCCCAGCTACAAAGTGAGATGTTTGCTAGAAAGAACATGATTTCTTTGCCTCTCTGTTTTTTTTCCTTTCCAAGCACATCTATTTCCTTTTCTTTTGGGTGGACCAGGGTGCTCTGGGATCTTGGGAACTGGCTGCCTCACACTTTCACCTGCCAAGCCTCTGTCTCTCCTCTTCCTGACTTCTGGTGACCTCCTGTTCCCACTCCACTGGTCCCTCCCTCACAGTGCTGTCACTGCACTACTGCTCCTGGCTTTCCCTGGCTGAGTGAGTTTGTGTGACCTTCGCACTGCATTCATGCTTTGGGACTTAGCTGCTGTAATGATGTCAGTGGCACAGGTTAGCAGATGGCAGCAGCAGCAATGAGACCTGACATGTTCTAATGACTCCCTTCTTCCCACCCTTGCTGGCTAAGCCGATAGAGGGGCAGAGATTTCCTTGAAGCATTTTTTGGGGGGGGCAAGGGATATTGGGGGGCCCCCAGGTGCTGATGAGGCCTGTGACCTTTGCTGCTATAATATCAGTGTTTCACAAGCAGGGCAGTTTGGGAGCCCACTTGCAGCCCATCAAAAATTGATTTAATTGCAATTTTTCCTCCAATTAGGAGCACTGGAGCCTGACTAATTGGAGTAATAGAGAGTAATAAGGCTCAGATAAAAAGCCTTCCTCGGCGGCCTTTGTATCTCGTGTCAGTGCCTGTCAGAGGTCAGAGAGCTTGCATATTCTATTAGGCAGCCCAGCCTTCATTTGTACAAATTAGTTTACCCAACAGTAATTAAAATGCCAATGCGGGTTGAAGAGAACTGAATACACTTGATGGGCATGTTGGTGAATGATGTGACAGCTCTGGTGGCCTCCCTTGCCAAAGTGTGTCAGCCCCGGCTCAGAGGCGGCTGGGGCCTGGGCCAGCTGGGCGGCTCTGGGCCAGCCACGGGGCCCAGCTGCTAAGTTCGCCTCTTCTGCTGCCCCTACTCAGAGCCACTCTGGCTCTCCTTTCTTCTTCCAGGTAGAGTCATTTGTTCATTTGTCCATTCCTTCATTCAACAAGCATTTGAATTTTCAGTTTACGCCAGGCATTATATCAGGTGCTGAGGAGAGAACTTACAGGGCCAGGGGTGTAAAATCACTTGGTTCTGGAATCAGGACTGACTGGGTTCAAATTTCCAGTCCTTCTAGTTGCTCCCTGTGTGAGCCAGAACAAGGTATATTACTGCTCTGTGCCTCGGTTTCCTTGTCAGCGAAATAGGGAAAGTGGTACCTATTGCATGGGGTTATGAGGATTAGATGGGATAATGCTTTTGAAATACTTTCTCAGAACCTTGCACATAGTAAGTGCTCAATAAATTACTTGTGTAATTAAGAGGGCCTAAAATAGGCAGAGGCAGCAAGAATCTACCTTCTTTTCATCCTGCCCACACCCAGTTTATTTCCCTTTTTACCTTCCTCTTCTCTTTTCTGTATCTTATTGTTTTCTATTCCTCAAAATGAGTACGAGAACCCCTAGTTCTCTTGGTGTCTACCTCTGATATGAGGGCTTCTACGTCTACTGCTTGGGCTTATGGTGATCTCTGTCATTGCCAGGAGGCCAGTAAGGTACGCTGGAGATCTGGGCATAGGATGAGAAATAGTAGAAGGCTGGCTGCTGGTAAGCACTTTCTTGTCTAAAAAGAGTAGAGTTTATTGAGTCAGAATGACTTTTAGACCCTTAAACTGAGAGACTGTGTGCACTTGTGTGTGTGTGTATGTGTGTATGTGTGTGTGCGCGCGCGCGCACGTGTGCGCATACATGTGTTTTGACATTAATATTTAGGGACTGTTGCTACTTCTCATCTATTTTCTGGTTTTGGTGCTTATGAGGGACTTCACTGCCCCAATGATGTGTGACTGTGTCATGTTTCATTCAGGCAGGTCTGAGTCTGCTGATTTGGAAATTATTCTTTTAAGAAGCAGAGGGACCCCCTTCACAGCCTGTATGCTTCTCAGCCTTGTTGTCTGTGAGCTTCGGAAAGCCCTTTCAGTTCAAGTCCACAGTTTTGTCCTGAGTGCCTCTTCTGGGCCAAGCACTGTGCTGGGCATTGGAGTACACAAGAGCCACCAAATGGCTCCATGATCTCAAAGAGAAGGTGGGAAGATAACCTCCAAATACCATTTGTCCAGTGAAGGTGAGATCAAAGTGTGGTAGTTTAGTGGCTGCTGGCACTCCTATGGGTTGAGAGGCAGCTGGGATGACTCAGAGGAATGATGGTCAAACCACCTGGGGAGCAGCTTCTACCTCTGTCTGTTCATTACAGGTTTGCTGTCCCTGTTCCTGGGCAGTCTCCATGGTTCTGGTGTGAGTCCAGGTGTGTGTTCCCAGTGGGACCTGGCTCCAAATCTGCTCGACTGTTGCTTACATGGTTTTTTACTGTATTAAATTTCATTAAACTCTTAAGTCCTCATAAGTGCCAGGAAGACTCTCTACTTTTCCTCTTTTTCTTCCTGCTTCACATGGTAAAACAAGGGGAAAGTACAGCTTGTAAAAAGAAATGTTTGTGAGTGTCATGTCCAAGCAATTAAGAAAGGTTTTTGTGGGGTATGAAGATGAGAGGCACTCCTGGTGGCGGATGGACAGGGCCAGGGTGGGCGGCCAGGCAGGAATAGAGAAGGACAGGAGTCCCAGGGGAAGGTGTTCCCATCCCTACCCCAGCCTGCTGGGAGGTCAGAGCTGTGAGAGTGGCAAGGATTCAGGTTCCAGGTTCCTCCCACCTCTCTTTCTATTGACTTACCTTGACGCTAATTTAGGTCTGTGGCCAGAGGCCTGCTACAGGCCTCCCTAAGAAATGTCTGTGCTGGCGCCCCTCACCTGGCCCCTACTCCTCAAAAGTCTAGAGAGCCCAATTGCCCGCTCGAATGATTTCCAAGTGGCTATTATGTTTCCAACCCAAAGTAATTGGCTTTACCAATTATTAATGGATTACCCTCAAGAAAAAAATGTCAGGGGGAGGGAGGTGAGGACAATACCTCCTGGCTTTGTAGTTTGGGGCTTTATTGTCCAGCAGCCGCTTCCCAGGCTGGGAGTCACTTGGGGCATGACAGAGTGGCTGTTTTGGCACACCACACTAGTTTAGTGGCTGCTGGCACTCCTATGGGTTGAGAGGCAGCTGGGATGATGGAGTATGTCCACAGAGGAAGTCTTGGCTTGAGGCATGGAAGCCCCAGGGTGGCTCACGTGGCCATTTTGTCAGTCTGGGGCTGAAAAGCAGACACCTGTCCTGCAATTTTGATTGTTAATCAGTGGCTTGGGCAATGCCTGCCCTAACATCTCCCCCATCGGTAATTGGCAGGCCAACTCACCCCCAGCCAAAGCCACTGGCTTCTTCCGAGCCCTCTCTGCGGAAATCCATCTCCCCATTGACATGCTTGGGATCAGAGAGCCACAGGTGCTAGGCAGGGCCAGGGCGGATGGGCTGCTGCCCCACATTGCCAAAGTGTCATTAGTATGTCCAGTACCCCTCCCCCTTTGCCTGACAAGTAGAGACATGGCCATTCCCTGCCCCAGGGCTCCTGAGTGACATAACTGCTTTCAACAATCATGCTCTTGGTTTAGGTTTTCAAGCCCTGGGTTCCTGCTGGTTTCCTCTCCCCACCCCTGCCAAATCCTCTAACAAAGGAATGGCCTGGCGCATAGGTTCAAGTTCTAGTCCTAGCACTACAGCCACCCTGGCTCATTGCATAGGTCCTACTCACTGGGCTTGTGCTTGCACTTAAAATGAAACCCTGTAGATTGTATATGTTGAACATTTAGGGGTTTAAGAGACACTCTGGGAAATGTGGTCAAATTGTTTCTTCTCACCTGCCTCTTGGCAGTGTCTGTTGTTGTCCTCTAAACCAGGGGTCCCCAACCCTCGGGTCCCAGACCTGTACTGGTCTGTGGCCTGTTAGGAACTGGGCTGCACAACAGGAGATGAATGGTGGGTGAGCGAGCAAAGTTTCATCTGTATTTGCAGCTGCTCCCAGTGCTGGCATCACTGCCTTAGCTCCATGTCAGACCATCAGGCATTAGATTCTCATAGGGCACTGGTCCCTGGTGCCAAAAAGGTTGGGGACCTCTGCTCTAAACACTCCCTGACTCCCATCACACTCCACAGCAGCCCTGGCTCCCTGGTCCCTCACATTCCCTCCCATTCCCTCCCATTCCCTCCCATTCCCTCCCATACTCTCCCACTAGCACTTTTTCATTTACTCATTTTTCATAGTTTTTTTTTTTACTCTCTTATTTTTGGTGCCTTTACATCCGCCCTGTGTTTGTACCATATTACCAAATTCTTTGAGCTCTAAAAAAGCGCTTAAACAGGAAGTCCTCCCAGCCACCCTCAATTCTGACCAGGGCATTACCCTCCAGCATCTAACAGCCTATTCCCAGGAGACTGTTTCTGTGCCATGGCTTTGTGAACTTCATATAGCTGAAGCCTAACAGGCTTACTCTCCCTTGGCCTCAGAGTTGCTCATCTAGGGACCTGTTTTTGTCGTGGTCAGAGACCACACCAGCTGGGTTGGAGTGGCAAGCTCAGCTATCATTGAACCTGTGGCTCCTGTGGCCAGGCAGCACTGGGAGGTTACAGCCCTCACCATGCTTCTAGTGGTCTTCCTACAACTTCTCTGATGGCTCTCGTGGCTGCTTCTCTCATCCTGGCTTAAACCCAGAAGCCCCTGGAAAATGAATATGGCACCTCTAATTGTGTAGCGATTTCCACTACAAGTTCTGACAAGCCAGACCTGACTCTGCTCTCCTTTTGTTTGGCAGCTCTTTTGTGACAGGGACAGCTTGCTGTGGGCACTTCTCACCCCTAAGAATCTGGGACCTCAACAGGTAAGAGATTCCTGGACCCACCATGGCTTGCTGTGGGGGTGGGGTGGAGTGGCCGGGGAGGCAGTAGAGAGAGCTGGCTGAGCCTGTGCCTGCTTCAGTGGGCTGCCCAGTGCTGCAGGAGGAGGCTGGGGCAGACTCCTGCCCCGCAACCCACTGACAGCCTCTGCTGTGTCACCTCACAAGAAATCGGTTAGCTTGAGGAGACTGTTGAAGTAATTTATAATAGGTAAATAATTTCATATTAAATTTATAATAAGTTTGGATTTATGATACTTTTTTTCTGAGGAGTGCTTAACTATGTGGCTACATAAAATTTCATCTAAAGATGATTTTTGTAAAATAAAGACATTTTAGAAGTGGCCTACAGATGCATAAAAAGGATTATATGGAAAAGTTAAAATAGATCCAGGTTTTATTCGCAATTCTCTGCCTTGGCAAGCTTGACACATTCCCATCTAATTTTCTGCCATTCTATTGTGTGTGTGTGTTTTTAACTTTTTATTTTGAAATAATTACAGATTCATAGGAAATTATAAAAATAGGACAGCAAGGTACCTGTGTAACATCTTACATAACATTATATCAAAACCAGGAAATTAACATTGGTACAGACCATAGACTTTTATTCAGATTGCACGTGTGTGTGTTTCCTTGCAATTTTATCCTGTGTGTAGATTGAAGTAACCACTACCACAATCAAGATACAGACTGTTTGTTCCATCAGCACAGAGGTCCCTCATGTACCCTGTAGAGTCACACCTATTCTCTCGTCCTTTCCCTAATCCTTGGCAACCACTTATGTGTTCTCCATCTCTATAATTTTGTCATTTTTAAAGTATTATATAAATGAAATAATATAGTATGTAACCTTTTGCACCTTTAACAGCATAATTCTCTTGAGACCCATAGACGTTGTTAACACGTATCAATAGCACTTTTCTTCTTATTGCTCGGTAGTACATTGCCTGGAATGGATATACCAAAGTTCCTGTTGAACAGAATTCACCCACTTAAGGACATCTGGGTTGTTTTCAATTTTTTGACTATTGCAAATAAAGTGAACACTTGTGTGTATAGGCTTTTGTGTGGACATATGTTTTCGTTTCTGTGGGATTAATGCCCAGGAGTACAATTGCCAGGTCATTTGGTTTAGTTTTCTTATCTGCCAAACTATTTTGAGTATCTTTACCACTTTATATTCCGACTCCAATGTATGAAAGATCTAGTTTCTCCACATCCTATTGGCATTTGGTATTGTCACTTTTTGTTTGTTTGTTTGTTTGCTTCAAGTCTGAGAACTCTTTACCTTGCTCTAGGCACCTACATTCTGGTTTTCAATGCTGTAGTTTACAGCAGTGGTGAGGATGTGCTCATCTCACCTGCCTCCTGCTTCAGCTGCTCTAGCTTGTCTTCTCCTTTTCTCTCCATGTCCCAGGGAAAGTATTAGCCATATATCTTCTTATGAAAAACCCATTGTATCGTCAGTCTTTCCAAAAGATTTTTTTGTACTACATGAGATCTCTTAATTAAATGTGTTTTTTTCTACAACATTCTCTTCGTCATTCAGCTGCAGGGATAGGAACCTCATGACTTCACCAAACACCACATTATATCTCTGAATAGCTCTACGGGTTAGAATGCCTACCCTTCATCAAGGATTGGTCTTCCTGGAACTGTGATCCTGACAAGAAGCAAGTTGAACCTCTCTTCTGAAGACAGGCCTTTCAATTTCAGAAAGCTTTGGTCCTGTTCCTTCAGGGTCTTATCATTTTCAGGCCAAAAGTCTGAGGCCCTTTAATTGTTGCTCATAAACAGAGTAGATCAGTTAGGGTGCATATGGCTGTAAGTAATGAAGGCCTAATTCAAAGTAGCTCAAACAATAAAGGGATTATTAATGTCTTAAATAACAAGGAGTCCAGAAGTTGGATGGTTGGCTGGCTCGATGGATTTAATAGCTCAGTGAGACCATGAAGGCCCATTTTCTCCTCAGCTTCCTGCTTTGCCACCCCAGTCAAGATGGGCTGTTGCCCTTGCCCACAGGCTTGTTTACAAAATCATAAGGCAATTCATAAGGCAATATCCAAAGGGAAGAAGAAAGGAGGAGGGCGTGTCCCTGCTGGGGCCTCCTTTTAAAATGAGGAAGCCCTTCCTAGGAGCCCCCAAGCAGACTTCTCATATTTAATGAGCCAAAAGTATATTCCAGTACTCACCCTAAATCAAACGCTGACACAGGAAATGGAATGACCAGTCAAGATTCACCTTCTGGGCAGTGGGGGATGGAAGAGGTAGGCACAGAATCAGGGTTTGGTTAGCAAGAAAGAAAGGAATAGCTGGATGGGTGACCTACAGTTTTTTTCTCACACTGGTTTCAGGACCGTTCTCACCTGAAAGTTTCTCTAATTTATCTGGTTTGTTCTCTGTTGAAATGGATTATTCATAACTGAATAGTGAACATAGCAGGTGTGGGCTGATGAGTAGCAGGTGCTATTACCTCTCTTATTGGAGATCTACTTTAGTTACTTTAGTTGATCGCATCACACTGTTGTCAGCATAGCTAAAACTTCCAAGGGTTCCTTTGTTCCTTTGTAGGCCCTGAGATGTTAGAGGTCTTGCAGTCTGTGAAAGTTATTTCCATGGCTCGCCCTACCAAACTCCTGTTTCTGGCAACTTCTTGCTTCTGAATGGGGATGGGGCAGAAGGAGCTCTTCCTCTGGTGTGTCATGAGGCTGTGAGGAGCTGCAGAGGGAGCACAGGCTGTGTAGTCAGACAGACCTGGGTTCCAGAATTGATTCTGCTGGATATTAATTCTGTGATCTATGGGCCTCTCTTGGCCTCAGTTTCTACATTTGTAAATGGAATTTAATTATCCCTACCAATAGAACTAGTAGAAAAAAAATTTTTTTTGAAAAAGTACCCACACAATGCCTGTCACCATGGGGACAGTCAACCACTGTAAGCTGTCTCCTTCCCTCTCTTCCTCTCCCATCTACATCTGTCTTCCACATTGGTACCTTGGAGTTTGTGGAGGCTCAGCCTTTTAATCCTGCAAATATTTGTGGCCTGTGACAAGTGGAGGGGGAATTGAACCTGCTGACCCTCATATCACAGAGCAGGCTGTAACAGTAAGGCTGTAGGTCACAAAATGGGCATTTCTGCTGAAAGTCAGTTTTGTATAGTTACGTAGCTAGATCTTATCCTTGGCATCATGGCTGGCCAGGGCTCGGGATGGCGGACAAGCTAGGGGATGGGGTGGGCACACCACCGTGGCCCAGCTTTATCTCGAGAGTTGAGTAATCTTCGAGTGGCCTCTTTTGGCTGTGGTTGCCTTAGTGGGGGGTATGCCCGGACACAGATTTATGATCAGGATGGACTTCTAAGGCACTAACCCCTTGAATGGCATTCTTTTATAAAATCTCTAGACCTCACGAATTCCAAACACTGAGTTTTTACAGAACCCAGAAAGAACCCAAGTGAGAATGGGCACAAGACAGCTATGGCTTCAATTTTCACTAAAGCCAGACAAGAAACAACCATTATATTCTCTGGCCAGCCTGTGGCAGGGCTGCCTTGATGTCACTTGGCATTGCCTTCTCTCTAGCCCCTATACTCCCCTTCTTACCACTGAGAGGAGTCGGGCCTTGTTTAAACATCTCTCCTGTCCCCAGGGGAGCTTGGAGGACCAAGAGGTGTGGGGATCGGGGAAAGATATGCTGGTGGAGACATCCGCTTTTGGTGGGAGGAAATGGATGGACAGGACGACTGTCTGTAGCTGTCTTTCCCAGAGAAGCCTGAGCAGATAATAAAGCCATGTAGAAAATAGGATTAAGGTAATGAACAGGCAGGACAGAGTTTGATCTTTCAATAAGGCCAAAGCCTGACTGACAGGCCAATCTGGAAGGTGGAGCGACATCACTGGCAGGACTCAGTGGCGGGGCGGTGTGCGATGCCAGAGGGATTCTTTCGCTTTTAACCTGTCACCACTGAAACTTGAGGAGCACTGGGATTTTCTCTTTTATGTGTGTACAATGACTGGGGGGAGGCAGTACTGGAGGGGCAGTTTTGCTCTGAGCATCACTCCCCCAGGGGCTGCCCTCAGGAAGATGGAGGGGGCTAGGACACAGCTTGAAGGTATAGGTGCCCTAGTGGGCACCAGTGCTCCCTTGTGCATCTGTGCCTCTCAGTAGCCATCCTCAGGCAGCTTCTCAATGCCTGGGAACTCCTTTCAAGGTCACCCTGGCTTCTTCAGCCCTTCATTCCTTCAAGTCCACTGGAGACTCTTCCTATGGACTGGAGAAGGGGAGGTCCTGGCTGAAGCACACAGGTCCTAGGGTAGCTATGGCAGAGAGCCATTGCTTATATGTCAGAGAATGGGCTGTCCCCTTCTCCCTTCATCCTTTCTACCATTTTCTCTCCTGGAGCTGGGGACCACGGGTTGGGCCCAAGGATGGGATTTCTAACTTGTTTAAACCAGAGAGATAGAAAGTTGGAGTCCTCTACCCAATTTGCAGGTGTCAGCATGTTTCTGCTTCTGAGGGTGGATAGTCTTCAGACCCAGTCCCAGCTCCTAAGGGGTCCATCTTGACAAATAGCATAGAGTATGCTTAGCTAGGCACTGGGGTCCCATTAGGCCCCAAGGTATTGTGCCAAAGCCATCCTAATTCCTGAACCTGGGGTCTGGAAGAATCAAGGCCCATATTGTGTATTCTGTCTGCATTTGGGCAGGGCCCTGGGCTAGGCTACAGGGAAGGTGTTGTCTGTGTGGGGCCTGCCTCCCACCTGCAGGAAGGCCTAGGAGGAGGAGGTTTGACTGGCCTGACATCACACACACCCCCTCTCCCTGGGGAACTTATCTTGGGTCTGTGGATTGAGCACAGGAGCTGAATATCAGGGCATCTACTGGCATTCGGAATGGCAAGGGGTGCCAGGCTTCAGCCTTTCTAACCGTCTGCAGGAGGAATTAGTGTCCTGAGTGCAGAATGGGCTGCTCTGAGGGCACCATTAGTGCCCATCCCTCCCAGGTGTGGCTTTGTTTCCGCCCCAGGCCCTCCGCCTCCTCCCGGGTAGGGGGCCTGGCCCTCAGTCAGGCTGATTACGGGAATTGCCCCTCTTTAAAGTACCTGCCTTCTTTGAAAGTATTACTGACAGCTTTTTTCATTTTCTTTTTTCTTTACCTCTTTAAGGAACCCTGTAATTTCTTTCTCTTTCTTTCTTTCTCCCCACCTCTTTCCTTTTTCTTTCTTGTCCCCTCTGTCCCCCTGAACTCTTTGAAATTGGCTCTCTGCCTGCTGACACCAAACTGATACTTTGCGTTTCACTTCTCCTTATCCCTTTATGGCAACAGATGTTGAAATTTTGTATCCTTTTATCTGCCCGGCTGCCCCTTCCTGTAATTACGGTCCCCTTGTTAGCAGTACAAAGTGGGCTGCCCGGCTGCCTGGCCTTTGAGCCATTGTGTCTGAACACGTGTGCGTGGGTGGGTGCTGGGGTCGTGCACGTGTACACACATGCATGTGAAGGGCTGTGTGCTGGCGAAGGGCCCTTCTTGGGACCAGGGCAGGTGAAGCTTCCATGGGCTTCTCCTTGTCTCCACCACTTTGTGGTTACATTTGGGACCTATCTGCTTCCTTTCTTCTTTTGGTTTCCCCACTAGAGGGCTGGACTAGGAAAAGCACTCCCTGCTTAAAAGTCTTGTGGCCCTCTGCCATTCGTCGAGTTCATACCCGCTGAGCAATGTGTCCACCATGAACTGGAAGCCAGATCATGCCAGCTTGTTCCCCTCACATATCCATGCCTCTGGCCAAACCAGATTGCCAGTTAGGTGAGCCCATTCTGATCTTCTCCTGTTGCTGGTTCTTCATCAGGGCCATCCCCACTCCTCTGTCATTGCCTGTCACAATGCTATCAGTCATTGAAGAGTTGCTCAATACCCACAGCCAAAATTGGTCTCATATCTGTGCCATTATAAAACTTCCTTTCAGCTCTCTTATGGTACTCACCAGGTCACACTTTGCATTGTTAATTGAATACATGACAGACTTCTTCCCCTCACTGGATTGAAAACTCCTTGAGGACTGGGGCAGTGTCTCCTTCAGTCACATTTCACATCTCTCCGGAGCTTCTTTTAAGCACAATGCCTTGTGTAGAGAAGGTGCTCAGTAAATGGCTGTTGATCAAAGAAAGGAAGAGAGGGAAGGAGGTGGAGAGGAAAGGAGGAAGGAAGGGAGGGAAGAAAAACCTCCCATTTTCTTAGCAACCATGTTGGGCCCAGCTTACACCTTCAGGCTTCTGTCTCCTGGGAGCAGAACAGATGTAGGAAAGTGAACTGTTTGTCACCCTCCCATCCTGTCCATCCCCCAAAAGTCATTGTTACATTTCGAGGTAGCGCATGCCAGATGGGGTGTCCTCACACCCATACACATACAGGAATAAGCACCCACCCACATGATCTCCAGAGACATCGTCAGGAACCCAGTATGTTAACAGTGGCTGTGAAATGGTGTGGGGGTTACAGGCATTCTTAGATGTGGGAGCCAGGGGTACTTCAAGACACTTTAGCAC